CCATTTGGTTCTCCTTTTTTAGTCATAATTTTTAGATTTTTCTTTATTTTCTGAGACTTTTCTATTGTTTTGTTTGTTTTATTGTGTGGTTAGTTGCTTGTTGAAGCATTTTTATAATGGTTCTTTGAAGTTATATCAGATAATTATGAGCATTTCTGTCATTGTGGTGTTTGTATTTATTATCTTTTTGCCTTCTCTGTGAGATCTTGGTTCTTGTTTAAGTAATTTTTTTTTATTGAAACTTGGACATTTTTAATACTATATGAAACTTCGGATTTCATTTTTAATAGCTTCCTGTAGCACCCACTCTTTGTGGAGTGGAAACTGCACCCATTGACATCCAAGAAAGGATGCTTCTTGTTATTAATAGGCAAGGGTGAGAGTTCTGGGTCCCCTTTAGGCCTTCACTGATACTATCTTGTCTGAAAGGGGTAAGAGCGCCTTCTTAGCTATTCCCCATATAGCCTTCATTGACCCCATTAGGGTGGTGGCCTTTTACCAGTTGGTGATGGGGAAAGCCCAGACTTTTTACCATGTCAGCTTTATACCACCGCAAGGCAGAGGAGAATTTGCTGCTCATTAGTACCTGAGTAGAAGTTCATGTTCTTCATGTGCTTTGTACCAAACACTATAAGAGTTAAGAGAGAGGTCATATATCCTGGTGAGGGTGGATATTTTAGGTCCTTATTGAGTCTTCACTGGCATAGGTGAGAGTTGGATCACAGGTTTTTTGATAGTGTTTGACTAAAATAGAATGTTTAGTTTTTTAAATTTTGCCCTCCTACTCTGTTCCTTTCCTGGTCTTTTGGCTAGAAAAAGTTGAGGTTTTTGTTGGAGCTCTCTTGTCTTCCCTCATTGTTTCTGGTTTGCTGGCTTCTTCAGCCCCAAGGCTGAGTATATAAAGCAAGAATAAACTCAAGGAACTTGCCACTCTTGTTATTCAAGTCTTCACTTTTGGAATTCTATTACATTTGTTTTATATATGATATCTGTGGAACATCATATATAAAGGAGGGAGGGAAAGATGGTGAGAGAGATATATATATTTATTCCATCTTGATGAAATTGAAAGTTATTTCTGTTTTGATCCCAGGGATGCCTTACCACTGAGCTATATCCCCAGCCCCTCCCCTCTACCCCTTTTTGAGCCAGTCTTGCTGAGTTGTTGAGGCTGCCTCAGACTTCCTTTCCTCCTGTTTTAGCCTCCCTAGTAGCTGGGAGAAAGTTATTCCTTTTAACTATTTTTTTTTTTAATCCCACTCTTGCTAGTGCCTCTTTTGTATGCCATTTTAAAACCAAGTTTTTTCTTGCCACATTTTTTTGGTTTATTATAGTTGAATATAATTATAGTATTTGTTGTTACATATTTATATGTGCACATAATATAACACTATAATTTGGCTGATATCATTCCCCAGCACTCCCCACCTCCCACTCCTTGTTTTCTTCCCTCTTTTGATGTCCGTTTGACTTTCATGAGTTCCCTGCTCCCCCTACATTTTTATTTTTTCCCTCCTCTTTGGTGAGAGAAAACATATGACCCTTGACCTTCTGAGTTTGACTTATTTCATTTAACATATTGTCTCAGGTTCCATCCCTTTTCCTTCAAATGACGTAGTATCATTTTTCTTGATGGCTGAATTAAAATTCATTGTGTATATGTGCTACATTTTCTTTATCGATTTGTCTATTGATGGATACCTAGGCTGCTCCATAGTTTGGCTATTGTGAATTGTGCTGCTATAAACATGGGTATACATGTATCACTATAGTATTGTTTTAATCAGCTTTTTTTTTTTTGCTGCTGTGACTAAAGGATCTAACCAAAACAATTTTAGAGGATGAAAAGTTTATTTAAGGGCTCATAGTGTCACAGATCTCATTCTCAATAGACAGCTGGCTCCATTCCTCAGGGATCCAGGTGAGACAGGAACAACATGGCAGAAGAGTATGGCAGAGAGAATCAGCTCATATGGTGATCAGAAATCAGAGAGAGAGAGACACTCCACTCTTCAGATACAAAATATATTACCCATAGCGACAGCCCCAATGAATGGCTTCCTCCAGCCATACTGTACCTGCCTCCAGTTACCACTCAGTTATGTTAAGGCTATAACTTAATCATTCCTCCTCCAACCTCCTTGCATTGTCTCACATGTGAGCTTTGGGGTATACCACATCTAAACCATAAATATTGAGGAGTGGTATAGCTGGGTCATATGGTGATTCCTTGCACAGTCTTTTGAGAACCTTGATAGTGATTTCCATAGTGATTATACTAATTTACAATTTCACCAACAGTGTAAAAATGTTTCTTTCTCTGCACATTCTTTCCAGCAATAATTATTTTTTGTATTCCCAATGACTGCCGTTCTGACTATTGTGAGATGAAATCTCAGTATGATTTTGGTTTGCATTTCCCTGTTGAAGTTGAACATTTTTTCATGTATTTGTTGGCCATTTATTTGCTTTTTGGTACTGGGGATTGAACCCAGACATGCTAAACCACTGAGCCACATCCCTAGCCCTTTTTATTTTTTATTTTGAGACAGGTTCTTGCTAAATTTTGAGGGTCTTAGTTGCTGAGTTTGTCCTTGAACTTGTGATGTTCCTGCCTCAACCTGTTGAGTCCCTACCTAGGACTACAGATGTGCGCCACCTGGCTTTGTTGGCTGTTTGTATTTCTTTTTTGAGAAGTGTCTCTTTAATTCATTTGCTCATTTATTAATTGGGTTATTTGTTTTTTTGGTGCTGAGTTTTTTGAATTCTTTATATATTCTAGATATTTTTCTATCAGAAGAGTAGGTAGAAAAGAATTCCCCCATTTTGTAGGTAGAACCAAGTTCTTCAAAAGTGTTTGTTTAAGCTTATTTTCTCTAGTTCTTCTCATTCTCTCTTAAACCTATTCTAGTAGGATTTTTATCCCTATCACTTCTCTGAAAACAGTTTTTCAATGTGTCATTTATAAGTGAATAATAAAAGCAATAATACCACAATTTATGGTTACACCTAAAGTTTTACTCTGTAGGCTTGAAAGCTGTATTAAATTGAATTCTGTTTAGATTGGTCAAGAAAATTTGAATAGTCACGTAGCCATTAAAAATATTAATTCAGTGGGCTGGGATTGTGTCTCAGTGGCAGAGGACTTGTCTCATACATATGAGAAACTGGGTTCAATCCTCAGCACCACATGAAAATAAATAAATAAAATGAAGGTATTGTGTCCATCTGTAATTTAAAAAAATATTAATTTTGTAATTTTTTTTCTAGTACAATTAAGTAGTTTAATGCTGATTTATTAATTTAGTAGTTTTAAAAGCCTTTCTTTTCCCTCAATAAAAAGGCCCAAATGCTTAATTTGTGTTTGGACAAAAACTAATCCCAAGGTTATGTAAATTTTTTCATGAAACAGAAGAAAAGTGAGATGATCCTTATTTTGTTTTCTGAGGCTTATGTAAAGAATATTACAAAAACTAGTAAGGAGAGTGTACCAAAAATTGAATTTTTTTGGCTTTAGTTTCCCTTAGAAACAGTGAAAAAAAAAATCTAGCAGCATGTAAAACAGGTAACATGACTTAAGTTTGGCTTATTTTAGATATGCAAGATTTAATTAACATTAGAAATGTATCCAAATGGCTGGACATGTGAGGCAGGAGGAATCTGATTTCAAAACCCACAGAAATTTAGGGAATCTCTGAGCAACTTGGCCACACTGTCTCTGAATAAAAAGGGCTGGGGATGTGGCTCAATGGTTAAGTGAGTTCAATCCCCAGGACCAAAAAAAGAAGTATACAAAATGTTTACACCTTAATAGAATTTTAACTTACTGTACATTTAGGATAGTGAAAGTCTTAGTTAAATTTGAAAATGCTAGGTATTATGTATTATATCATGAGCATTAAAATTCAATTTTGAGTAGAATACTGTGGGTCATAATTCATGACACAACTAAATTTGATCAGTGTGTGTCAGATGGTCTCAGAGGTGGCAAAATATGAGTTAGGTCTTGATGGGTAATATTTTGTCAGAAAGTTGAAGCCATTGTGTTAAGTAGAGAAAGTAAGGTATGCTAAACCATAGCTGTGGCATATGGGAGCGGTTAATTGAATTAAAAATAGAGTACAGTAAGGATGTTCTGAAATGGCAAGAAGATGAGACTGGAGATTTGTGCCACTTATGGAGATTTTGCCTTGCTTCTTGTTCAAGTTGGAACTTGCCAACCCTGTGAGAGTTAGAAAACCGGTCAAAATTTATGAGCATTGTACCTGTTTTTAATTATTTATATTTAATGTATTGTCTTTAGAAATAACATGTATAACTCTTTTGCATGCTTTTGTGTATTTATCTTACTTGAAGTTAAATGCTTCTACTGATAACTTAATTTTTTGTTTGCTGTGTGGGGATCAGGATTTATTATTGGGCCACTTAATATAATTGCTAATTATATAATATATAATATTATATTACCACTTAATATAATTGTTAATTTCTTCTGTGTTGTGTCCCTAATTTTTAAAACCACTTATGGCTGATATCTTTCACCAAGCTGTTGCCTAAGAACTTTCCAATGAAGTATGTGATAGAGGCCTCATTAATTATATTATTTATATCCTATTCTTTTTTCTTTTTTACTTTCTCTTTTGCAATTATATGTAATAAAGGCATATTTTAATACATGTCTTTTAAAGAGATACTTACGATTTTATTTAAAAAAAAAAATATTTATTTTTTGGTTGAGTCCCATCCCCTGTCCCCCAAAGAAAAGTCTTTGGAATAAGCTTTCATTAATTGTAATTGCCAGGGCTTCTTTTTATTTTTCCTTTTATTATTGTATTGGTAGATAGAAGGCATATTACTCTAAATTTGTGAGAGAATTTTGAACTTAAATTAACTTTATAAATGTATTCGTTCTTATACTTATAAATGTATTCGTTCTTATACATTCCTTCTAACTCCCTAAAAATGTTTTAATTTTCTTCATTATATATTTTTTACTCAAGGTGTGACTGCACAGAAAAGTTACAGAACAAATTTGATTTTTTGCGCTCACAGCTGAATGACATTTCATCATTTAAGAATATATACAGATATGCCTTTGATTTTGCAAGGGTAGGTGTGCAGTTTTTCTTCCTTAAGTCATTGTAATTGTTTTTCATCTTAAGACCATACTTAAGAAAATTTTTTCACTTATTTTAGGATAAAGATCAGAGAAGCCTTGATATTGATACTGCTAAATCTATGTTAGCTCTTCTGCTTGGTAGGACATGGCCACTGTTTTCAGTATTTTACCAGTACCTGGAGGTATGCATTTTTAAAAAATTTTGATTAAATATTTAAAAAACAATCTGATTTTAAAATATTGAGGAACAAGTCACTTTTAAGTCCTGTACTTTTAAACATTATTCATTAGTATTGAAAAAATTCTGTTAAAATGTGTAAATTTCTATTGTCATTTTTAGACACAAGTTCATGTGATTTGATATATCCTTTACATAAGAATTTGGGGAATTAGGGGTATAGTTTTGTGGTAGAATGCCTGTTTAGTGTGAATTAGACCCTGGGTTCAGTCACTAGCACTAAGTGAGACCTCCAAAAAATTTATTTAACATAGATATTTTTCATGCAAAATTAGTTTCTTGTGTCTTAGAAAGAATCAATGCTAGTAAACAAATCTCAAGCAACTTGTCTCATACTGAAATATATTTAAGTACCAGTTCTTATAATAAAGCTTCCCTTTTGCATTTAGATTGACTATGAAGAATTAAAACTAATATTTTACGTCCACAAGTATGAGAATGACTTTAATAGCGTGCTTGACTTTACTGATTACTAAAAAAAGAAAAAAGTATACTGAATTTATGAAGCAAATATTCTTGGAGAGGGGTATCATTGTTCTTACTAGCACAGTGGTTCTAAAACGATACTATTCTTTTTTACATTGTTTTATCTAGTTTCATATCTGTTTTCATTGACTTCTTTTCTCTTTTTTTTGCATTGGGATTGAATACAGAACCTTACATATGCTAGGCAGGTGCTCTGCCACTGATCGTCATCCTTAGCCCTTTGTTTATTTATTTGAGAAAGGTTCTCATTAAATTACCTAAGTTGACCTTAAACTTTGATCCTCCTGCTTCAGCCTTCTGAGTAGCTGGGATTACAAGGATGTACCACCATATCCAGCTTATGCCTTTTAATTTTTTCTTGGTATAGTTCTTGCTATTTTTTGAATAAATAAGTTTTTCCTTTGGAAATAATTTCTCATAAAGCTGATAACACAGCAAGTTGTCCAGAGTAGTTTTACTTAAAACTTTTAATAAAGGACAGTGGCATTTATATGAAAGAATTTTTTGCACAATAAATTTTTAAGCCCAATAAAGTGAATATTTTTCACGAATAGTGCTTACCTTTCTCCTGTTTCTATTTTTAGGCAAAATTAAATTTAACTGAATATAAAGACATTCACCTCTGAGAAGCTAAGTTGAAAACTAAATATTTTCACACACTTGTTTATATGCAAACTATTTGACATATGTTTTCTTTTTAAATCATTATTACACCATTTTTAAGTTAAGTTTTCTCTCCATTTAGCAATCCAGGAAATGTATTCTTTTTTTTTTTTTTTTTTTTGGTACCAGGGATGAACCCAGGGGCACTTAACCACTGAGCCTCATTCTTACTCCGCCTCCCACTTTTTTAAAATTTTGAGGTAGGGTCTTTCTAAGTTGCTTAGGACCTCACTAAGTTTTTGAGGTTGTATTTGAATTTGCAGTCCTCCTGCCTCAGTCTCCCAAGCCTCAGGGATTATACCATACCTGGCTATGGGTTCTAACGTAACTTTCTCAGGTCTTCAATTAAGTGACAGAAGTGGAATTTGAACCCACTACTTCCATTAGACACCAACCTCAAAATGTAGTTCATGCAAGAAATATACTTGGAAGGAACACAAGGGAACTTTCTAGAAATGGGAAATGTTCTATATCTTGATATTGTTGTTAGTTACACAAGAACATACAGATAGAAAAATTGTGACTTTTAATTATTAGTATACTTGTACTTACTAATATTATTCAAAAATTAGAGAAAAAAACTAATAGTCGTCAATATGTAAATGCTCTTGAGGATTCTCTAAGAACACAAATAGTTAATAGAGAAATAAATGTTTTAGGAAATGCCAAAGTACACAAAAAATTATAATATATTGACTGAAGTTAAATCCTGTTAAGTAATGTTTGTTCTGAAGTTCACAGTAATTTGTTCTGATTTCCACAGCAATCAAAGTATCGTGTTATGAACAAAGATCAGTGGTACAATGTATTAGAATTCAGCAGAACAGTTCATGCCGATCTTAGTAACTACGATGAAGACGGTGCTTGTAAGTATGGTGTATTTCTATGAAAATAAAATTCCTAAAAATATTATGCATTTGTGGAGCATTAACATAACAGTTTTAAATATCATAACAGTCACTTTTACTGTTTAGCCAGGTTATGAGGAAGGTCAAGAGCTTAGATTCAGTAATATTATAAAATTAATTCTGGTAAATGTTTCCATTTCTTAGTAACCACACATAATAGCTAAACTTAAATGATAATTTCTGCATTTAGAAGCCAAAATTCTGCTTTGTCTTTCCTGTAGAAAAACAAATCATGATTTTAAAAACAAGAACTATACTAGTAAAAGCTTTAAAATTAATGATGGTACCTATTAATGATATGGCAGATAATATCAATAACTCACTATAGTTTCAACCTTTCAATTAAAATATTTGTACTCTTTTTAAGAGGTAAAACTTTTTAATCCCAGAGTGCCCCTCCCAATTTTCAATCCCCCCAACTCTCTCCCCTACATCAGAGCCAGAGAGTGAGGCTCCCTGCCCTCTACCTGTGGTGGACGAGGGCCCTTTAAGGCACCTGAGGGTGGGAGAAGAGGAGCAGGAGCTGGTTCCATCCTGGATGTAAGGACAGGCTTCGGTTGGCAGGTTTTTGTGGGATGGAATCAATGAGGTGGGGTGACAGACACGGACACAGGATTGGGCCATCCCTAATGTGGTCAGGGTCACAACTATCAGGACTAGGGGCAAAAATGACTTTTAAGTGGATAAAACAGATTTGGAGTAATGATATTTAGATGAGCCAAATTACTCTCTAGATGTATTTTTAGTTTTTACTATTATTTTGGTTTCACACGTTGTTTTAATGTTCAGAGCAGTTAACCTGGAAAAGGAACTTTCCTTATAAACAAGAATTAAAATGATGCATTTAAACATTTACTTTGTGTTTATCTTTATACCATGTCCCCTTTTTAGAATAAAGCCTTTTATATGGCCCATCCCCCTTCACAATCTTACAATACTTGGTAATGTAACAGAACTACTACCTTAATCACTTTTTACATTATAATTAAATGCCAGAATGCTATGGAAGAGGTTAATAGTGACTCAGTTATTAGAAGGTTCATGAAACACCTTGCAAAGAAAATTGCTATGAATACCCATTGTAGAAAGTCCCACCTTTTTTTTTTTTCCTCGGGGAAAATGGAAAAGGCCAAGAAAATACCAATATGTAAAAGAGGGAGATTGGAAACAAAACACTTAGAAGAAAGGACAGGTCAAACTATCATATGGACCATTTGTTATAAGCATATGGAGAATTTGTTATATAGTTGGAGAGAGGAGTTTATTGAATTCTAATGAGACTTGTTTCATTATTTCTAGGGCCCGTTCTTCTTGATGAATTTGTTGAGTGGCAAAAAGTTCGTCAAACATCATAGCAAGAACTATTGTGAAGAAAATGCAAACTTTTTGATTCCCACATGTATACAAACTAATGAAATGAGGGGGAAAAATCCAAAGGGTGCATTTTCATTCATATGAAAGACTTCTCATAGTACTTTTTTTTTTCCTTTTTTTTAAAGGAAGTTTCCTTGTTACATGTGAGCGGCATTGAGCCACACCTCTTCTGAGACTGAATATTGACATTTTTGTTTCAAGTTATGTTTTTAACATTTATTTCAGAACAATAAAGATTCAGATTTGTGACAAAGGCCTTAAAGTGAAGATGTCCCTTGAGTGTCAGAGTGGTATTTATTTTTGTAAGTTTGAATTCTTGATTTTTGAGGTTCAGAATTACCATGAATTTGTGAAATTTTAAAGATTTTAAGCAATCTTAATATCCGGCAATGTAGTCTGCTGATGGTATAGCTCATATTATTTATCTTTGCACAATTAGGAAGAATAATTATTGGCCTTGACTTATAATGATTTTCTGGTGCAGCTAGTAAAAAACATTTCTAGATATTGGAAGTGCTCCAACTTTCAGCTGTGGGTATCTGTAAAAGCTATCAAGGTCTTATGTACGTATCTTATTTGAAAAGTTTGGAAAGATTATGTTAAGTTATTTTGTTTTTTGACCATGAGATATTTTTAATAAGCAGAAATAAGCCCTGCATGTGTATATTTAACATGAAATTTAAATTTTGTGTATTTCTGTCAAAGAATTTCATTTACATTTGAAGTAGCAAGGTTGATATATTAATGGTCTCAAAATCAGACATTCTTTTAAGAGCATTAGGATCAATATTGAAGTTGTATTTTTATCATTAATACAAATGGCATATTTATGATATTTTTAATTATTATTTTATAGAGAGTTTTGTTGAGAGCACTGTTATTTTCCTTAAGAAAACTTTAGCTTTGATTTTTGTGGACTTTGTTAAGATATATAAAAGAAAAGAAAATAGAATAATGGATCATGAGAGACCTCTGGCTGTAAGTGCAAACTTGGTGATATCATTTAACATTGGTAGTATTACAGTTTTGCTGTTTGTCACAATTTTCTGACTATTGGCAATATAGTATCTTGAAGAAATAACAGCCTTATTCACATAAAAGTCACCTTTTGGTTAGCAGCAGGCATGTTTTATATATTCCTTTTCAAACCATCCAATATTCCAGTGATAAGAAAACTTGGTTCACATTCACAGTTCAGTCACAACCTCAGTAATATTCATAGTCTCATTGTATAAATGAAGAGAACTAAAGAGGTTATTTTTCCATAATAAGGAAATTTCTGTTGATTTAAAAGTAAAGGTTGGTTGATTTGATAGTGAATTTGTTTAATGAGTGATTTTTAGTATTAATTACCTAAGGGAAAAATAGCATTTTGAAACTTATTGTTTGCTTCTTGGTTAATGAACATAAAGTGATTGCCAATGTTTTACTTGCCTTCTTAACAAGATTATTTTGTACAGTTTTGTAAAACACTGATAAAATAGTGGAAAATAATTCTTTTCCTCAGTACCTTTAGATAAAGATTATTTTCTTTGAATATTCCTCTTAAGGGTTAGAATTAGCAAATTATTAGTAAGGAGCACATGAACCTTTGTGATTTAGTATCATGAATGATGTTTTAATATCAAATTAATAATATAAGAAAAGGATTTACATTGTAGAATTTCTAATATAATTGACTCTTCTAAGGTACAAGTTAAAACAATTGAAGAATATTGTCCACTTTTGTTTAATTCAAAAGAATTTAAGTGAAATCTTACAAGTTGTTACTTTATAACTTGAACTAATTGTAAAAACCTTTGTAATCTTTATTATTTGAGTAAAGTGAGGAACACTCAAAACTTATAGAGTGACTTTAAAAAAATTTTTACTTAGATTAACTATCCAAGGGTTCCTTTAATTTTTTGGCAGGGGTTGGTTCTGAATATGAAAATTAAATTCACTTTTTTTCTGCCTAAAATTAGTGGTCCAATTCCACAATGGTCATGTGCCTGTTTTACTTGCTCCATCTGTTTCTCTTACCTTTCTAAAGCCATATAACACTCACCTAATTCAGTGGCATATGCCTGTATAACCCCAGTAACTTGGGAGACTGAGACAGAAGGATCAAAAGTTCAAAGTCAGCCTCAGCAACTTATCTAGATCCTGTCTCAAAATTTAAGAGGGGGTGGACAGGGGCCTGGGAATGAAGAAGCTTGGTGGTTAAGTGCTCCAGAGTTTGATCTCCACTACCCCCCACCCTGTTTACCTACTTTGCCGGCAAATTTGCTTGGCCTTATTCATCAGGGCATGGGCTGTGTTCCTTCTCTCCTTTCTTAATTTATATTTGAACAACTTTCAGTTTATTGGGAAACTTATAATCAAGATGCTAAGTGGTTAAGATATTAACTGGTCAAAATGTTTAGCAAAGTGGACAGTATTAAGGAACTTGTAGTATGAAGAAGTCTCCTAAGTGTTGTGGCTCTTTTTTTTTTTTAAACTAAAGTGCCTTCCCAGGAATCCTTTTGTAAAATCTTCTAATTTATTTTCTTCGTGTGGAATGAAATACTCGATGGTGCTTTATAATATGGAGTTGACTTGCTGCTTATAAAATAGTTTACAAAAGTAATACTACTGGAAGAAAGTAGAGCCAGGTGTTGATTCTTTGTGGGAGGTTGGAGTGTTGCCTTCCACAAATCCATGGGGTCAATAATTTTTAATAAGGTATGGTCATTTAGAAAAATATTGACCAGGGATTCGGGTAACATAGTATGATAAAACTGTGTATTACATGCTGATCTGGATCTGTTACCCTATTTTTCTCTTACTATCTAATGATTTCTTGTTTTTAAAATGATAAAATTCTCGACAATACATTTTTAATGGTTATATTTTTATGTGTAATGTGAGACCTCCCATGGGATTATTAAATTGACCCTCAGGATTGTATATCCCTTAAGTACAAATGCCTTTTTATCTAACAAACCAAAAGTGTATCTTAACAATATTGAATGCCATCACTTTTCAGTGTGAAGGGGATGAGAGTGAGAGTAGAATTTTGACATAACTAGAGTTTTTAAGGCATGCACAATTATGTGGAGTGGTCAGATTCTAGACAAATGAAATACATTGCTAATAAAACAAATTTTGAATTGTATCTTAAGCAAAATGTCTTTTCTGCCTAGTCATTAATGGGAAATTATGAAAGGACTTACTGAAATGTATTATGTGCTTAGTTTTTGAGGAGCAGTTAGTAAGAATGCTGACGTCATTTGTTTTACTGCCTTCTTGATGAAGTATTCCCGATGCTATTGTGACAATTCATAAAGGGATAATACTTTGTTCCTGCTTTTAAGCCTGAAGTTTTTAGCACATCTCTCACATGCTTCCCAAATGTCTAAAGCAGCAAATAATTTGAGGGCATTTAATGCATGTAATTTAAATACATTTTTTGTTAAAAAGAGAAAAATTAGAAAGCTAAAGAATTTTTTCTTTTTCCTAGAGAGAAATTCTTCCTTAAGGAAATATATCACTTCTTGAGTGATACTGGAAAACATCACAAGGAAACATTTCAAAGAAGGAAGCATTTTCTCTTCAAGAGAAATGAAAAATAGGAAAATTGTAAATTTCCTCAGAAGGAAAGACTAGTGGGAATTATTAAATATTCTGGATCATATAAATTTTAATGACTTTAATTTTATTACTTTCATGAATATTTAGCAATAACGAGACAAAAATATTACAATTCAGTCTTTTTTGTTAATAGACCTAGTTACCTATGATTATACTATTAAAGCCCAGAAAACATTATAACTTTTATGATAAACTTTATAGATTGTGGAAATGAATTGCTGCCACAAACCTTGGATAAATTGTACTGATATTGTAGATATTTTTCTAGTGAATTTTTACTTCACTGGAATAAATTTAAAAAAATATTTATGTATCTTTAGTTTTTTAGGTGGATACATTAGTTTGTTTTTATGTGGTGCCGAGGATCGAACCCAGTGCTAGGCGAGCATTCTACCACTGAGCCACCACCCCAACCCCTGGAATAAATCTTTTGATGTTTAATTTATTTGCCTTTTCTTAAACACCAATTTTAATAAAACTGATTAGGCATTTACTGTATCCACCTCACAATCTTCTGTATTCTATAGAGTATAGATAGTGTTTCCTTAATTCCTTTCCCTGATCAGTTGTTACTTAATGTGACCCTTTTCTTTTTAAGATGGATACTTTATTTAGAATCCTTTATAATACATCTTGTTTTTATATCAGTTCTTACAAGTTACAGCAAAACAATTTTATTAAAATTGTTTTAGCCTTCCTCAAAATTATATCATTTGAGGAGATATTGTCCTGCTATTTGGCTTTTCAGGTCTACAGTATTGATGACTTTTCATACTTTATGATTGGTTTAAATTAAAATTGTGGACTTTTAAAAGCTTGAAAATATATAAAATGCATATGTATAAAGCAAGATTTCCCTAAAACTCTATAGGGTTGTATGTGTGTGTAGAATTAGTAGTTATAGTTTATTTTTCCTGTAGAAATAAATCATAGTTAAAAGCCATGAAGGTTAAAAATTTTGCTTTTATATGACTGCTATTATTTGAATTTGTGAAAGAAAAAAGACAATACTTTATTTGAACAACTTGTCACTAGGGACTTTATTTTGACTTTATCAAATTTAGCAAATCAATTTTTTTTAGTTTTAAATGAGGTTTACATATTTTACCTGTACTATCATGCAAATGAAATGACTTAAAGCAGGTTTAGGCACAGTTAATTTTGACTTCTTATCTATTTTGGATTTGTATTATTCTTTGAAATTACTTGGAATTTTGAGAGTTTATAGAAGTGAAATCTGAGAACCTGAGTTTGGTTTCTTCTTTGTTACATCTCTGTTACTTTTAGATAGTCACTTGACTCTTGTCATCTTTAGTTTTTTTCTGTAAAACAGCAATAATTCTACTAGTATTGTCAGGAAGTACAAATGGAGCCCTAAATATTAAAAGAGTTCACTTTGATGTTTGAACAAAAAGTGATTAATTAAAATAGTTCACTCTGTCCCCAACAGATTACACCATCCTACATGGAAAAATAGCTGGAGTTTACTATTTTATTCTACCATTTAAAAAAAATAATCAAACACATTTATTTATGTTTCAGACCAAATCTTTAATTCAGCAAATTGTAACTACACCAAGAAGTATTCTAGCTCCAGTATATCACAGGGCATAGAATAGAGAGGTCTCTGGCATTTATGTGATTTTCATTTGAATTGGTTTATATTGTTTATCAAATGGTGACAAAATTATTTGGGAGAAAATTAAGTCAAGGAAGGCATTACAGAGTGTGAGTATAAGGTTGCTATTTTAAATAAACTGTATTCTAATTTATGAGACATTTGACCTGGAATACAGGAGCAACTGAACAATATGGTTGGTTATCTGGGAGCACAGTGTTCTGGGCAGAGGAATCGTGCTAAGGCCATGAGCAGGTAACAGTTTGCTAGGTGTCTTTGGGAAGCTACAAGATCAGAGTAAATGTAGTAAGCTAAAAGAGTATTAGCAATAGAAAGTGAGGTTACAGATATAGGGAATAATAAAGACTTACTGAGTGAAGTAAGAAACAATTAGGGTTCTGATCAAAGCAAGGATATGGGAGTGAATAAAATTTGGAGAATAATACATTGGAATATTGAAAGTGGCCATTTAAGAGTAAAAGATTCAGGATCATGTTTGAGGTAGGAAGACTGAGGATTTAGTTTGGGATTTGTAACAGTAGATGTGCCTGTAAGATATCCAGAGGGAAATGTAGAGTAGTGGGCAGTTGGATATTTGAATTTGGAGTTCAAAGATAAAGTCTGGGCTGGAGATAGGTAATTTGGAAGTCAACAGTCATATATATATATCATGACATGGATGAAATCACATAGAGAATAAATGTAGCTAGAGAGTAGAACTGAATTGAAAACATAGTTAATGAACTTTTAGGACCACCTTTTGTGATTTTAAAAGTAGAAATGTTATATAACATTTTCTACCACATACACCAACCATTACTTCCTATAATATAGAAACATTTTAAAACCAAGATTGATAACATACATTTATATATAAACAAATGGCAAAATGAAGACATTCCTTAATTCTTAAAATGAGGCTTTTTGTTGTGAATGGTACAGTCTTATATTTTAAGAATATATTTCTATGGTGGTCAGAAATTGCTGTTATGATTCAATTTGATAGTTTTAGCACTAGAGGGCAGGATTGCTTCTAGATTGTGAAGAGTGAATTTGTCCAAACATAATCCCTACATTCATTCTCAGTGAATGCACTCACTTCTCAAGTGACATATTTACCATCTACTGTGTTTTATTTCTGTTGCTGGGAAAGTAGAAAGTAAAGGTAAGCTTGACTTTTAGTCTGTCTAGGACTGTGATTGATAGTAACACATTTGCATATGAAGTCCAAGGAAATTCAGGGTAGTATCCCCCTTCAATAATGGTAATCTGGACCCAGTTATTATTGGTACTCTGAAGTACTCATCACTGTGCCTAGTTTTTAGGTTAGTTCATAGTGTCTGAATAAATAAAAAAATTAATTTTAAAAAGTGGGATCAGGAAGTTGGGAGCCTTTACAAAGTCCGATTTTATTTGGGTTTTTTTTCCCCTGATGGCTGAGGATTAAGCCCAGGGCCTTGCACATGCTATGTAAGCACTCTGCCACTGAGCTGTTTGTCTTATCCCCTATCACCACTTTTTCACATTTTCACAGGTTTTCCTATTAAGATGGAGATGATTCCACTCTATCTTTACTCCCATGCCTTTTTCTGATAGTTTAGCTACAAGAACAGTTTGTAGCCATAGAGAATAGAAAGTCTTTTTATAGTCACCATAGTGAAGAGAAATGATAGGTGTGGAAGGTGGGCAGTTCCTTCTGTCTTGCTTGTATCAGATTGAGACGTTAGAGATTGAGATGGAACCTTCCTATATTCTACCCTGAAAATTTTCCCACACATGGGCCTTAAAAGTTTTTCTGGTCTTTTCAGTTTCCCTACTTTAATTTTCTTGCCTATAAAATGAGAATAATAGTCCTTACCTAATTGTATTGTTTTGATGAAACAATACCTGCAGTAAATATTAACTACATTGTTCTTTGAAAAAACAAAACTAAATCATTGGTCTTTGTACATTGAATTTGTGTTCAAATATTATATGGTAGAGCAACTAAGTGGAAAACTGTTAATCCACTAATATACACTTAGAAATACAAAACGGTTCCACTAATATACACTTAGAAATACAAAACGGTTATTGATGTGAACTAATCTGTATTATATACTTGTTAACTTGGGCACTGTAATGAAGTGATTGTTCTAAAGAATATTAAATATGACTAAATGAGATGATAAATTTACAGTGCTTGGTACCAAGTAACAAGCATTCAGTAACATGAACTGCTGTAGCTATTTTTAAACAGTGGATCAAAAAAAAAAGTGGATCAATTTGATTTCATAGAGAGGGCTCTTATTAAAAAAATATTTTTATTGTTGATGAAATTTTTAATTTTATTTATTTATTTGTATGTGGTGCTGAGAATCAAACCCAGTGCCTTGCACATGGTAGGCAAGCCACAATCCCAGCCCACTGGAGGGCTGTTTTTTAACAAAATAAATAAGCTTATAAAACAAAAATACTATATAGTCTTATTACTTTGTTTGATTTCCTTATTACTTTGACTGATTGTGGAGTAGCAAGACCTTTTCCCAAAAGAAGTTTTACCTAGAAGTAAAATATTTAAAACAGTTAAAATAAGAATCTCTGCATCCTCCCCACTTAAAGGAACTACTGGCTCTCCATTTTTTAGGTAGTGGTGGTACCGGGAATTGAACTCGGGATCATTCTACCACTGAGCCACATCCCCAGCCCTATTTTGTATTTTAATTAGAGACAGAGTCTCAATTGCTGAGCGCCTCACTTTTGCAGAGGCTGGCTTTGCATTCACTTTCCTCCTGTCTCAGCCTCCCCAGCCGCTGGGATTACAGGCGTGATCCACCCACACTCGGCTCCAACAGCATATTTTGAAAACCACTGTTTGCACATTTGTACTTTGACGTGTCAAATGTGAGCAAAGTAATAGTGGGAAAACTGGATTTAGGAATTTCTATTTCATTCTCTAAAAAGCCAAAAAGTAGCTGGCATTGTTTTAATGTAGAGTAAGATAAAAAAAAATGCATAAAATCTTTTTAAAAAAATAGCTTCCTGAAGGAATGATGCCTCATTTGCTTTACTGTCTTCCACTTTGCTTAACAAGTAAGTCATTTTCCCCCCATAACCAGTTTGTTATAAATATGGTCATAAGATGGTTACATTGACTAGTCTGATCTTACAGAATAAATGAAAAAAATTGACAGACCACTAGTTGAGTAAGGGAAAATATGACCCTTCTTGCACTTAGGATGTATGAATTGAAGAAAATCAATGTAGTCTTTAACTCTCTGATGTAAGATTTAATTTATTGGAACTTCTCCTTAGTCCAGATTGCAGCACCTTTCTGTGTTTCTTGTATATTCTGCATCTACTGTCTCTGTAATAATTGAGGGCTCTCCTCCCAATTCTGGGCTTGGTTATCCTTAAAGAAACATCCTTTCCTTTCTTCATTCTTTGAGTCACTACTGATCTTGTATATACTTTTTTGAGTGTCCATAACACTGTATTGTCAGAGCATATTCACATATGTTTTCTTAACTAAGCTGTGAGCTCCTAGAGAGCAGGGACTGTATGTTTTAGCTTTATCCTCCAATGCCCAGAACTATCTACAGTATAGGAAAAGCATTCATAAATGGAACAAATGAATACATGAGAATGAACAGATGAATGTTTTTGCTTGTGTTAGATATCTAATATATTTGTATTTTTTGTTTACTGTATCGCAGACATTCTAGTATAATCTTATTTTTAATGTTGACTTATTGAAGTAAATTAATGCAAATCAAATGCATATTAAAGCAAGTATATTTTGCCACCCAAATTAGCATAGATTTTAAAATTGATAGTACCTATGGTTGATGGCATATGGAGACAGAAATTTTTATGCTTTACTGGAGGGACTATGATTTGGCATAGCCTTTCCTGGAAAGTAGGAAGATATATTCAAAAGCCTTAATAAGTTTCATATCTTCTTACCCAGCCATCCTATGCCTACAAATATATCCTAAAGAATAAAATTTGTGATTTTTACCATAATATAATTTATAGGAAAGAAAAGAAATTACCTAAATGCTTAAGCATAGGAAAATTTGTTAAATAATAGCACACTCATATAATGGAGTATTATGGTATCTTTAAACATCCATGCTATAAAAGGTGGAAGCATTTTAAAGCAGTATGTACAATGCAATACTATATTTCAAAACTGTATGTATTGGGAGAAGGCTGAAAGGCTATACACCAAAATAAGATAAATGGTTATCTTCTTGGTGGTAGAATTACCAGGAGTTTTTATTTTGCTTCACAATCTGTATTTTCTGTAATACAATGAGTATGTATTAGTTTTGTAATATTAAAAAATAAAGGTTGTATAAGGAATATATACTTTCTCCTTTGCTGATTATACATATCCTCTAGTGAAAGAATTGGAACCAATTATAAAATAGGAATTTTCACCTGAACTCAGTATTGCTGCCCTTTTTACTTGCCTTTTCTGCCATTGTTACTTATCCTAGTCATAATATACAGCAGAAGCCTATTACAGAAGTAAGTAACTTTGATTTGTTCATTTATTCAGGAAATATTTATTGAGACTTGTGGTCTAGGAACTTGGGATATTAAGTATCAAATTCTTGAGGGTTAAATGCATTCTGAAATTTATTTTAAAACTGGAAATTTAAGAAAGTATCTACTCCAGCTTTCTCTCTTTGGCAACAGGGAAAATATATCCCAAACAGATTTGCCTAAGACTGAACGGGTGATAAGTGGCATATTCTAGACTTAAATTCAGAAATTTTGTTACTAGTCTAGTGTTATTTTTGGTTACTTGGACCTCATTTTGTAAAATTCTCATCAACTGTAGATTTAGAAGACAGGTTGTCCTCAAAGTTCAAAGTTAATATCTTTAATTAGTAGCCTTAATTTCCTTCACTTTGTTTCATAGAACATTTAGTTAACCAAAGCTTTACATCCATAAATTTTCTATATTTATCATTATTAAACTACTTGTAAGTATGGGTTTGCTTTTTTTTTTTTTGTACCAGGGATTGAACTCAGGGGTGCTTAACCACTGAGCCATATTCCCAGCCCTTTTTCTTTTTTTATTTTGAGTCAGAATTTCACTGTGTTGCTTACAGTCTCACTAAATTGCTGAGGCTGGCTTAGAACCTGTGATCCTCCTGTGTCAGCCTCCTGAGCCGCTGGAATTATAGGTATGCACCACTGTGCTCACCTGGTTTTTAACCAGCTGAACAAAATAGAAAAAGTCACTTAAAGTCCTTACCCCCATTAACATCAATCAGTTGCTCTTTACTCTTTGGGCAGAGTCATTCAGCTAGTCAGTAGTCCATCTGACTACGTAAGTATAAAGCATATTGTTTAGATTTGGTTGACTACCGAAATGGAAATACAGTATAATTACAGCATAGCATTATACTACCTTCAGTTATCAAATGAGCTATTCCTTTATGCTACTGCCTATATATTGAAAGTCCTAACCTGGCTAACTCTCACTAATCTTTCAAAACTCCTAATCCCAATTTAGATATTGCCTCTTCTGGGAAGGCTCTCCTCACCCACACCCACTCCCCATCTTGTAACCTTCTATAGCATTGTCGTATTGTATTATACTGAACTCCTTGAAACCAGAAGTGTCATCGTTCGTTCATCTTCCCAGTGTGCTTAGCTCACTGTGGGACACATAAAAGACACTTAAATATTTCTTTCTTGATAGGATAAAGAAGTGAGTGATGAAATAACAATTTCCTTCTGATGTTAAAAAATAAAGGTTAAGAATGATTTGTTCTTATATATTGGTTCCTTGTGATCACCTCTTCTGTTTATTATTATTCATTAATTTGAACTGTATATTCTCTTGGAAATGAAAATCAGCAGGCTACAATTTGGAGAAGCCATCTTCTGTATTTTTGAAAAGTCATGGAAAATGTGCCCCCATCTCCAGTTCTCTAGCAGCTGGGCATTTGTTTTTTAACATTGCAGATTGTGCTTTGTGAGTTCTAGGTTTAGATATTTGGATTCATTTCAGAGCAGCTTCATGATATGGTAGAATGATAACCACATGGGGAACTGAAAAGACGATTCTAGTCTAGACAGAGACACTGATTTTCTGGGTGACCTGCAGGCACTTATCTTTTCCAAGGTTTCAATTTCTCATCTGTAAAGTGAAAACTTTAGATTCAGTAATACCCAAGGTCTCTTTCCAGAATTCTCTCAAATTTTAGTGAGCTGTCTTAGAATACTGTGACCTGATCTTAGCTTTCAAAGAACTAAAAAACTGGATTTCTGTAACTGTTGGCATTCAAAGTAAGAAGTTGCCTATCTTACCCTCTGATTTGCTGAGGCTCTGCCAAAATATTTTTTGTAGGTTGATGCTGCCACAAAAACAACCCTCATTCCAAGTTTTTCTTGACACTGACCCCATATTCATTTGTGTGTAACTTCCATGGATTGATTCTGGTTTTGCCCTTGGTATGGAATTCCTCTTTTCTGCATAACAGATTTCAAGATATTTGAAGATAGCAATAATACACTAGCCATAAGTCTCTTACTCTTCGGGTTAAAAATTCTAGTTTCTTTTACGGTTTCTCATATGACAAAGTTTTCCTTTATTCCTGATGAAGTCTGTATGTATTTTTGCCTCTAAGGGACTTTGCACATGCCATTCCTCTGATGGCAAAACTCTTGAAGTCTGTATCTACATACTGAATCATTCATTTGTCAAGGCCTAATTTGAACCATTTCTTCTTCCATTCAAATGAATTGTTTTATCCTTTTGTTTCAGAAGTGCTTCCCTATGATTTACACACATTTTGTTCTAATGGTTTTTGTACTGAATAATATTTTCTCATACCTGTGTGCTCCATAATAGCAAAGACCTTAACTGACTTGTTCATGGTGTCTAGAACACAAAAGGTATGTGTCAGTAAATGAATAAATGAATGAGTCTGTTTTCTAACTTGTGATATGGAGCTGGATTTAATGAAGAATAAGTGAATACATGAATGCACAAAATGAATGAAGTACTGTTTTAAGATATGTCAGGCTCCTTTGAATCCTTCCTCTTAAAAATTTTGAACCAAACATAAAACTACAGATGTGATATAATCTGGACAGGTATAGCAGTCTTAACAATTTCTTGAAGTTAGTTTCTTTAATTTCAGATTCACGTTCACATTAACAGAGAAAATAGAAACTAAAATAGGGCCTGAGTAATTCTATTTCCTTTCTGCACTCATCGTGAAACTCCCTAGCAGTGGATCTGTGCCTTCTCCACACTCTTACCTCAACTTTTTCCATATTCTAGAGTTAATTCTGTGCTTTCTGGCACTAAGCTTGCTGAGAAATGCTTGTTTTTGTCTTTTAGTTTTGTGCTTCCTGCTGTCTTTTATTCTTGTCTACTTAAAATATGCTTCCCTCTTTTGTCTTTAAGTTACCACACTTGTAGCATGGTCACTTCATTTCAAGATCCTGCTAAAATTTGTGAAACATATTTTCTTAACATAAAGAAGTAAGTTATTGGGCTGGAGATATAGCTCAGTTGGTAGAGTGCTTGCCTCACATACACAGGGCCCTGGGTTCAATCCCCAGCACTGCCAAAAAAAAAAAAAAAAGTTAATTATCTCTAAAACTTGAAGAAAAGTAATCATTTGGAAACTCACTGTTATGGTTTAAAGCGATACAAGTTTCCTTAAAATTAAAAATTTAGTTTTAAAGTAGTTCTCAGTATAGATTAAATGCAGTTGCATAAATTACATAGACTGCCCACAATTCCAATTTAATGACCATACCTTCCCTATCATCTCATCTCTTAGCAAGCGTTTGTAGATACAAGTGATGGTTATTGAATAAATCAAGACCCAGGTGAAACAGAAATGCAGAGTATGGATTTGTGTTGGGAGTGATGGAGAAAGCAAAGGGAAGTGACACCCACTATTGCTATTAAGAGCTACTAGTTGCCTAGCCTGTTTGTTTCATTGGGAAAAGTCATGAAGAGAATTCAGCAGAGTTAAAGGAAAACAAGCAAATAGTTCAGCCTCCTTATATCTGTATGTAGATGACTGGAAAGACAACAATACAGGAAATACTTCAGAAGAATAAACAAACACTCATTGTGTTACTTTACCAGAAAATTGTGTATTCTCCACAAGCCAAGTGGAAAGGATGACAACTAGGAAGAGGAAACCACAGAATGGCCTTCTACTGCTTACCATGTGAATTTAGAAAATTACTTGATTGCTTAAAAAAATAGAAATGGTCAAGAAAAATGTCAACAAAATCTGTAAATAAGAGATCAGCAGAATTAATAACATAATCAGTTACTACTTTTAAATATACAACTCCACTCATTGATGAGAGAATGGCCTGTCCCCTATTTTTATGAGAAAAAAAAAATAGGGGAATTTGTGCACTACTTTGTGAGGTTGGTCTGACCATTCCAAAAATCAAACTGAGAAGTCTGACTCACTAGAAGCTAGAAAATTTGCCTGTTGTGAGAGTTCACTGTGCTCTTTTCATTTCATAACCCACACTTATTAGCAGTCATAAGAACTCTGGATTGGAAGCCAGATGATTTGCCTGGATGACGTGCAGTGTTGTCAAAAGTCTCTAATAACAGAAGCACAGGAAACCACTTTATGGAATCTAAAGTGATATTCAATAATTTCAAATGGCCCTAACAACATCTACACTACAATAATTAAGTATGTTAAATACATGTAGCTAATTATGAATTCATAGTGTTACACAATTATTATTAGGCATGATTAGAAAATAGTCCAGTGAGTGAATTACCTTGAAATTTTCTGTGACTGGTTAATATATTACTGACCACTTAATATTTAAAGACGTGGTAGTTTAACATCTATTTTGTAAATACAGAGACAACTTTTTGATGTACTTGGACTAATTTCCAAAAAAGACATTTTAGCTGATGTTAGAGGGAAACTTGTAATTAATAAAGGAATTTGCATTTAGGTCATTAATTTTTGCTCAATATCTGGAAGTTCAGAGTTTATAATTGTAATATCCAGAGTCACCCTAAACATCTAGTTTCAAAAAAAGATGTCTTGATTTTTCTGAATTTCTAGGAAATTTAGATAACAGAATCTATGATTCTTAAATCCACTTGACTTGTAACTGATAGAACTGGGCTATATTGCAAGATCACATTGGATATATTTTCCCATTAGGCCAGATTAGTTTAATCTGTTTTAGATTATTAAATTAAGAATTTTTTTTTTGTAGTTGTAGATGGACAGCTTGCCTTTCTTTTAAGGTTGAACCCAATACCTCACACATGCTAGGCAAGTTCTCTGTCACTGAGCCATAGCCACAAAATTGTTAAGTGGCTTTCTTGTATTTTGCCTTCCACATTTCTATGCTCCACATTAATTGAATTCTCATTCTCTTATATTGAGGTATATCTATATACTTTGATATTAATGCCAATAATTTAAAAATGATTATATAAGGAAAATATAATATCAAGTTTGTATTGAACATCAATGAGAATTTACTGATTATAACTTTTAAAATTCACATTTTAACTGATTGAATATTCATTCATGGAAAATAAAGGATATTTTCCTAAAGCAAACTTCTCAGGTACTTAAAAACAGGAAATAGTGAAAATAAACAAATGACACACTGGTTTCTCAGTCACAGCAATATTTTTCTGGTACCTGCATCTTTGCCAGAGAAAAGTACCCTAGAGTGGCAGCCAAGAAGAAACTCCTAAAATATAGGGTAATTTCATAGAGTTTGGAATCCTAAGAAATTCTGCTCAGATTCCAAGAATGAGAAAATCTGGGTTTCTATAGAGAAAAAAAACAAAACAAAAACAAACAAACAAACAAAAAAACCAGGAAACAGTACCAGGCCTAGAGAATGGATAGGAAATTGGTGAGGTTCAGCCTTTGCTTTAGAGCTCTTGAATTCCCTGAACCTGAGGTTGTGACCAGAGAAAATAAAAAGCTACATGGCAAGCAACAGACCAGCCACACCCCTCAGGAGGCCACAAAGAATAATTAAAAGAGCAGATTCAAATATGATTTGTTGGAGTCTAAGGAAGAATCAGGGCATTGTTCAAAGCCCAGGCTATTCTTTCTTGCAGAGGTACCTCACACGGAAAGGAGGTATTTAGTTAGCTTTTGCATTGCAAAGTACCTGCCATGTTCTACTTACAGAAGTAAAAGTTTATTTGGGGCTTGTGGTTTAAGAGGCCTCAGTCCATGGACGACCACTTCCATTGCTGAGGGCCAAAGGTGAGGCAGGACATTGTGGGGGAAGAATGCATTGGAGAAAAACCACTCTGTCCATGGTAGAGTGAAAAAGTAGATAGTGAAGGGGCTACAGGGAAGATGCACCTTTCCAGGGCATGCCTCAGGGACCCACCTCCAGCCATATTCCACCTGCCTATATTTACTACCCAGTTAGTTCATTCAAGTAGGATGGATTGATTAGGTTACTATTCTTATAATCCAATTGTTTGACCTCCAAATATTCCTGCATTCACAGGAATATTTCATATCCAAACCATAATAGGAGGCAACATGATGAATACTTAGCAGTTACTCAAAAGAATCACATGAACCTGGAACAACCAAGAGCAAACTTGAGAAGAACATCATGCCAGAAGTCTATCTCTTCAAGACTGTTATGTAATAATCTCTGAATGAATTTATATTAAAAAGATCAAATAAATTCATTTTAAAGTTACTATTAATTGATAAATAATAATTGTGTATATTTTGGAAGTATAACATGATGTTTGGATCTATGTCTACATTGTAGATAAGATTACGTCATTGTAGGTAAGATTACATTGTAGATAAATTACATCAAGCTAATTAATCTTTGCTTTAGTAGGTCATGGGCTTTAGTAATCTTGATAATATAATGAAAGAGTTTCTACCTCATAGTTTTCTTGGAAGATTAAAGTTATTGATACATAGAAATTCTTAGAATCATTCAATAATCAGGAGGTGTCCAATAAATGTTTATTATTTTCTTCTGATTTCTGCTGAAATAAATCCTGGGGGATACTGTGAAGAGATGTACTCCCTGTCCCATCCCCCTTTTTTCCTGCATCTAATTCTCCTTGCTCTCCTTGCCTTTCTTTATTTTTTTCTTTGTTTTTTTGGGAGGGTGGTGGTGGTGGGGGGTTGTATTTATGTTGGGGATTGAACCCAGAGCTTAGTGCATTCCTAACATGTACTCTCCCACTGAGTTACAATTCCTGCCTCTCTTTACCAGTTTTTATTATTGAAAACCTAAGGCTATGGTTTGATGACCCCAAACAATTCAACTTGTTCAATTCAACCTACCCATTTGTTTAGCAGTCTGGGAGACAAAACAGCATTCTGTTTTTGCTTAAGACTGTCTTCCTCTTCCAACAATCCAAACTCTGCTTATTCTCCAGGCCTTCATCCTGGCTCTTTTCCTGGATTAGTCCTGAGCACACTGCTATTTGTAGAACTTGTTCAATGGTTACTGCCTATATCATCCATTTATTATTTCCTGTATACAATGGATTGTATTTCATATGTTTTTGTATTTTCTCTTAAAGATATTTTAGATTCCTAAAGGGATTAGAACTCATTGGGATGACAATCTCTTTCCCTCTCTGAGCCAGGCCATGGAGTATCCACCATAATGTTATACACAAAATGGATTGTCCTTAAGAAATACTCAATAAGTTGAATCACCCTGTCTCATTCAAATGCTTGCTTGGTATCGTGGAGTTTTCAATATAAATATACCAGGAGAAAAAGTTATCTATTCTTCAGTAATATTTACTCTATTATCCAAATGATCCTTAATCATTTCTTTTGCAGTTGATCTTACCATCTGGATGAGATGAAAGAAGAAATGTGGTAATGATCATGATTAATTACTTTGGCTTTTAGAACTAATTTTTATAGAGCTCTTTTCATAAGGGATTGATATGTTTTATTCAAGGAGTTTTAAGTCTTCAGAGTCTGTGATTGAAAAAGTTGTATTCAAAATGAGATCTGAATGCCATCTGCATCAGGATCATCTGGGATTTTTATTTAAATTAAATAGTTCAGTACTTCATTTCAGACTTACTGAAACAGAATGTCTTGGTGTAAAGCTAAAAATCTTACATTTTAGCATGCTCCTAAATAACTCTTGAATATTTGTGAGTTGAGAATTGTTGTCTAAGTTTTTATTATGCTAGGAAGAGAATTCCTGTTTCACATTCTTTGTTGAATTTTGCATTATGCATTTTAAACTCTTAATTCATCTTAAATTAATTTTATTTTTAATTAACAAATAGTATTTGTATTTATATATGGTGTACAGTGTTGTAATTTGATACACATATTCTTTTTAGAGTTAGATATCTCTCTTCCTCACACACACACACACACACACACACACACACACACCACACACACACACACCCCCCACACAGACAAGCAATCCTCTTGTCATAACCTCCTGAGGGTCACATGGTCCTAAGCACTAACAAGACTCATACTGCCTTTACAAGTTTTCCTATATCTGACACCTTCTACTTCCATGAAACTGTGTTTCTCAAGGATAGGTGCACACTGTAAAAAATAGGTATATAGCTGTTGCTGTTATGATCACTGAATTTGATGTTGTTATTTAACTGTTTCATGTGTATTAAATGTATATTCTCAACAATGAGGAGAAAAGCATTGAATAATATCATGTTTCTTTGGCATTTTTTTATCATTTTGGGTTCACAGTAGGAGATGAATATAAGTAAACCAGTCTGCATTCAATAGCAATTTACAGTTTTGGTTAATGATTTGAGATGAAAGCTGAGCAAATATTTAATTTATATATTATAGCAAAACAGGAAAAAAAAAATAAAACAGACCTTCACCCAACCTTATTTCTGGAAGAATGGCTCAGCAATGCTGAGCAAGATTTTGTTTACAAACCTGGCTTCCATAGCTTGATGAGCAACCAACAGTCTTTCATAACCAGCTGAGCCATTGTCTCCTGATGTTTTCATATTTCTAGCCAGAACATGAAGTTGGCAAAATTTTCCAAAACATCTCATTCCAAACCACTTTAGTTATAACTAAGAAGCTGAATTTTCTAACTGTAACTGTGTAGCTGGTAAATCTACCGTGTAAAAAATTCCCAGTTTTTAGGAAAATAGTTATTATTTTCTCTTATTAAAAATCATGTATAGGGGACTATTTCTCTGGGTATACAAATCACTATTAAACATGAGCCTTGTGTCCTTTTCATCTATAAAAGAATATAACAGACAATATCTCCTTTTCTCCAGTTCTGTCTGAAAATAAGAAACCAGTACAATTTGCTCAACAGTGTACAAAGATCAGTGAAAAGAAGACAATCTTTGCTTGAATATTCAAGCTTAAATAAAGCTCCAGAACATGCTGTGCCCTGTAAATTAACACACTGTTCTCAGGAAGTTAGGCCCAAGTGGTAACCTCAGACCAACTAAGTGATGTGAACACTAGGAGATGTGCTGCCTACATCTCCAACTTTCTTTATATTCAGATTCTGTCTTATTATCACATTCAATTCATGCAAACTGGCCCCTCCCATATCTAAAGGGAAGAAAGGAACTGACATTTATTAAGCTCCTGCTATGTGCTTAGTACTTAAAAAATATCTCATCCAATCCTTAAAATTCTTGAAATAGATTTTATTTCATTTTTTTGAGATAGATTTCATAAACCTCAATTGACATATGGGAAAATTTAGATTCAAAAAGTACACAGATGATGACTAAGTGAACTGGTACTTAATACCAGGGTTTCTATTTTTAGATCTAGTATGCTTATCATTATTACAGGACCTGGTACATATGGTAAAGGATCAGTGAAATTTTGCTAAATCAATGAATGAACTCCATAGATGACTCAGGAATACCAACTTGAATCTCTCAAGCTTTTCTTTCTTTTTAGTGTCTGTCCTTCCCCCATGGTAAATATTTTTTTTCAATAGATTTAAGGGTCACCTGATTCAATCACCTCCTTAAGTAGGAGTCACCTATTAAGTGTCACTGATACAAAGCCCCCTAGCCCTTGTTTTCCTTTTCCCAGGAAAGGAAGGTCATTAACTTACTTGTGAGGCAGTCTGCTTCTTTCCTGAGTGTTACTTATTACTAGAAAGGTTTTCCTCAGCCAGGCACCATGGCACATATCTGTAATCCCAGCCATTTTGGGAGTCTGAGGCAGGAGAATCATGAGTCCAAGTTCAGTCTGGGCAACATAATAAGACCCTGTCTCAAAATTTTTAAAAAGCTTTTTCTTACACTGGAGAAAAAAAAATGCTTCTAAGTAGAAGGATGGCATGGTGTTGTAGAAAACCATAGATCTAGGCTCAGAAAATTGGAATTTAGACCCCAACTTTCCCACTCTGGGCAAGTTCCATCTTGCTGGACCTTAGTTTGCTATGTATAAAATGGTGGTAATGGTAGTGCCTGTGCCGCTCAACTCTCAAGGTCATTGTGAAAACCAAGTCATATAATTTATAAGACAGTTCTTTACAGAGAACAAGTCTCTTTTTTTTCTCTCTCTCTTTTTCTTTTTTTTTTTTTTGGTACTGGGGACTGAACCCAGGGTATTTAACTACTGAGTCACATCTCTAGCCTTTTTCTTTTTTATTTTGAGACTGGGTCTCATTAAGTTGTTTAGAGTCTCTCTAAGTTGCTGATCCTGGCTTAGAACCTGTGATCCTCCTTTCTCAGTCTCCCAAACTGCTGGGATTATAGGTGTGCCCCACCACACCCAGCTAGGACAAGTCTTAATAGAAAAACCAGCTCTTCTGATTTCACTCTTTGGACTTCATAGAATAATTCTATTCATTGTTAAAGAAAATAATGACATACTTCATTACATCATCTTATCTTTAGGCTAAATATTTCCTTTCCTTTCAGTTTTTTAGGTAAGGTTTCATATAAAATTTTGAGACAGGGTCTTATTATGCCGCCTATGGATGGTTTCCAGTATGTCAAACATTGCCCTGTGATATGTCCACAGCTGGACCCTGTACTGCAGGATGTTCTGACCAGCACAGAACACAGTTGTGTCAGTGTATTTGCCCCCACCCCACATATGCTGCTCTAATCAACCTTGCTACATGAGTGTTTCTATTCATTACATTTCTCTGTGAAGCTATGTCAAGTTTGTGTTTGACTAAGTCAGGTCCTTTTCACATTAGTTGCTGTCAAGCCACGTCTTCATCCTGTGTTCATGGAGCTGTGCAGATCACTGAATTTATTATATTCAATACATCTTGTTGGCTTTATACTATCATTCCAATCTTTTGAGAGTTTTCTTTTGGCTTTTATTTTTATCTGCCAATGTATACCTATATATACAAGTTTTATGACATCTGAAAAAGAAGTAAGAAAACTCTTTCTGGCATTAGCCCGAATTATAGTAAAAATGTTGAATATGATAAGGTTGGGGAAGAACCTTGTGTCTTCTTTTCTCACTAAAGATGCTCCTTGAGTCTAGCTTATTACTCTCATAATTACTGAACCATTTCACAGTTATTTGTGATAAAACTCCTCCCTGATAGATTGTGAGGCTGTAGTTTGGTCTTAGCATTGCTAAGATATAACAAAATTCCTGACAAATAGTTGCTGCTTGAAGAATGAATGAATTGGTATAGACCTAAGAATGAAGAGGCTGAGTGTGGTTATCCACCAGACATGTGCTGCTCTAA